GTAGGTCACCGGAAGGCAGAAGGGCAGCGCTAGCTGAGAGGAAAGGAAAGCGCTGAGCGCAGACCCGGATGAAGAGCTGATTCCGTCTGACTGGCTTCGCGGCTGAGGCCCTGTGATCTCGGGACGGCTCCTCGCTGAGAGAGGAGACATGGACGTAGTAACTTTCAATAAAAACTACCGGCCCCCGAAACCGGTTTGGTTCAATGGATAGAGCGTCGGCTTGGGGACTGAAGGGTCCCGGGTTCGATTCCGGTCAAGGGCATGTACCTTGGTTGCGGGCACATCCCCAGTAGGGGGTGTGCAAGAGGCAGCTGATCGATGACTCTCTCATCGATGTTTCTAACTCTCTATCCCTCTCCCTTCCTCTCTGTACAAAATCAATAAAATATATTTTAAAAAACAAAAACAAAACTACCGGCCCGCCTCGTGGCTCCGTGGTTGGCGGGGACCCAGGAGGTCCGGGTTCGGTTCCTCCTCGCCCCCGCAGGCCGGGTGCGGGCTTCGCCCTCAGCGCGGGGCCTGCAGGAGGCGGCCCGTCAGATTCTCACCGTTGACGTTTCTCCCTCTCTCTCCCTTCCTCTCTGAAATCAATAAAAATATGTTGTGTTTTTTTTTTAAAGCTACCTAGGAAGCATGACTAGTCATACCTATTTTGTAAGGTTCATGAGGAACCAGTGCTAACGCGGTGCTGATACCAAAACAACACCGAGCAGCACTATTCTTGTATCTTTTTTTTTTTTTTTACACGCAGGGCGTCGTCTTTCAACGGAAAATGACAGGTAGCCACAGTGCGCTTCAGCGAATAAATACAACTTCAATGTAAGCAGTTCCCTGGGAACAGGATTAGTGTTTCCAGGCGTTCTTACGCTTGTCATCAGGGTCTCGATTAGGTTCCTCACACGTTGGTTTAGCGGAGGCTGGTTACCTGGACTCGAGGGCCCCGAACATGCCCGCCGCTCCCGGCCTGTAACCGACATGCCGGGGCCGCAGCTCCGTGTGCGGGGGGCGCAGCGACCGCGACCGCGACCCCGGGCCCCGGAGAACGCGGGCGGCGGCGGGCCTCTCCCCTCCGGGCCGGCCCTCCCACCTGCTCAGCCTGGGGCCGCAAAACTCCCACCCCGACCACGGAAGGCGCCCGGACCCTTCTGACGCCCCGCCGCCTTCCCAGGCCCCACAACCGCGAGCTCCACGTTGGCCCTCTTCCCACCCCCCACCCGGCACTGTCTGACTCCCAGCCCGGGCTGGTGGCGCTGGAAGGGCGCCTCGTCGCGGCGAGGCCACCCCAGGGCCTCCCGGGAAGCGTGTGAGGAAAGGGCAGGGCCGACGCCCCACCTCACGCTCGGTGGGCGGCGGCGGCGGCGCTGGGTGTGAGGGGATGGAGGGACCAGGCACCACGAACCTGGAGTCGCCAGGACCAAGGTACCTGCGAAATGCTGGCGCTGGTGACAGGCCGAGCGGGGTCACTCTCCCTCCCGGACGCCGCTGCCGGCCTCAGACGGTTGCTCCGCCGAGACAGGACCCTCGAGAACTCCCGCCCATCCGGAGCGAGGGCACTGCGGGCCAATCAGCGTCCAGGGACGGCCTCCGGGGGCGTGGCCGAGCTGAGGGTGCGTGCGCACGTGCCCCACGTGCCAGATCACAGCTCCCCTTGGACCTTCAGACTTTACCCTGTTACCCTCTTACCTTTGGGACAAAGTGGAAGGCCACGACCTCCCAGGTGTCCTCAGGCCCCCGAATTTAACCCAAGCCTTTCTCTAGGGCACTTCCAAAGTGAGGCGTGCATTTACAGAGCCGTCTGTCTGCTATGTTAAAATGATTTTATAACCTAAACTAGGAAGAGGTGTGAATACCTCGGGCTCCGACAGAAGGGCTAATGCTTCCCTTTCTGTTAAATCTGTTCTGAGTTGTCAATTCTTCTACAGGAGCCTTTTCTTTTTGGCCTCATCTGACTTAGCCCTGGATCAGGTGCCTAGGATGTAATCGGTGCTTAATGTTTGCTGAAGGAATACAACAAAGGATTCATCACAGCTTTTTGGTGTTTTCTGGGACATTCCTTCCTCTCCCCTTCTCCCTAACTGGTGACTGCGTCCACCCCATCCCCACTCCCCATGTCCCGGCTTTTCGTGGCTATTTCCCCACCGCAGGCCACTCCAGCCGCAGTGCGACACATTTAACATCGAAATTGTTACACTGTATCTAAATGGCACTTGTTGATGAACATTATGAAGAGCACAGTGATAGAACTTTAGGTGTAGACTTACATGGATTAGTTTATGTCTTATTTAACTCATTAATTTTATAAGGTATGCTGTCACTTTCAAAATCCCTTTAACCGTGTTCGAGCTTTTCAGGGAAATCTAGCAAAAGGGACTCGGTCCTTCCAAGTGAATGCCACCAGTGCAGCTCTGACTTCAGGGGAGACCCTCAAAAAGAGGAGTGGATTAGGTCAGGGTAACAAGAGCAGAGTAAGCTTGCCCACCTTCCTTCTCTAAAAACATTTTCAACATAAAAATGTGAAGAAATAAATGTGGAGCCCTGGCCTGAATAGCTCTGTTGGTTGAGCATCCTCTCATGCACCAAGAAGTCTTGGTTCAATTCCCAGGGGGGCACATGCCTTGATTTCGGGCTTGATCCCAGTAGGGGGTATGCAGCTGATCAAATGTCTCTGTCTCCCTCTCTCTATAAACATTTTTAAAAATCAGAGAGGAAGAACACTATAAATTAGTGACACTAGAATTACAGGTTATTTTTCTCCTAAGGAATGAAGTTTTATTTCAAGTAGCAGTGTTAACTAGTAAATATCTGTAATAAACAAATTATGTACATGTTAAAGTGATTTTAAGGCTGCTTGAACATTTAAACATGGTAAGTTCCTGTCCTTTAAAATGTAGTGACCAATATTAATTGGCTTAATTAGTGACTATTTTTCTATAATCAGAATTGACCTGGATAAATTATTCCAAAGGCTTATTTTCTAGACCCACTTAATACTAAGAATGCATCTCAAATTCTACTAGAAATTGCTCAACCCTCACTCCAGTGAGGAAGATATTTGAATCACATTAGATAAAAGCTTGTGTAAACTAATCTAATACATCATATACAGTACATGAATACCTTCAGAGAAGGACCAAGTCAATATATGTAAAAGACCCTGAAATCATATTTGAATAAAATATATCTAAATGTCTCATTGTAAAGGGAAAAAAGGAATAAAATAACCAGCCAGGCTTCATATCAGTTAGACAATTTTACTAAATGAGAAAACTACATTTAAAATGTGCTTTAAAACAAAATGAAATTAGAAAAAAAGACATATGCATTTGAAAGAACGTTGCACTGAGCTGAAAATCAAATCTCTTGCAATAATACAATACACCAATTCATAAAACGTAAGTTAACAGAATTCTCAATTTAACATTTTTAATGACAATATTAAGGTCAAGAATTTCACATCTGTGGTAGCACACATAAAAGGGCATTATAAATATGATATCCGTCCCTATGAACTTACAAATTTGACAATGCTCAATAAAAGCTTTTAGAATCACATCGAAAAGTATCACACCCAAAAATCACAAATCTGTGTCCTCTAAGTTCTCCTTATAAAATCTTTATGTTCACCTTTGTAGTCTTGCCATTTGTTAATGCTAACCCTTAAAGGCGGGGGGGGGGGGGGGGGGGGGAGGAAGAGGGGGGCAGAGAATAGAGGAAGAGAGAGAGAAAAGAAATGCTGCAAAAAATGCTTGATCATGTACAGAAATTATTGCTACTATAGTTCACTACAAAGCATGTCTATACAATATCATATGGACTTTGATCATGAAAAATCAAAATAAAAATCTTTAGTGACATAAGCCTTACAATCGTATACAACATTCACATGGCATTAATAGACTGTTAAGCACCCAATACCCTTAGCTGACAGAATGTCCCACAGACCAGCATTCATTTAAATATGTCCTTCGTACAGAGAAAGGGAGTGAGTCAGCTTTCCAAGGCTTATCAAAAAAGGATTCCCATGTTTTATGGATTTAAACACACAAACACACACACACACACAAAAAAAACACCACAACAAAAACCCAAAAAACAAAATTGATGCAGGTGAAAGTGTTTCCAGAAAGTTAAGCATGCCAAAAGGTGTTTCGTGCAAATTAAAACCTAAAACAAAGGTACCACATAATCACATTACCAACTAGGTGGGTAATACTATATGTACTTTATCTTAAAGTTAAATGAAATGCTACTTCACAATACAGCATCAATCAGTTAAAAATTAGAGTGCACAAATCCGTATCTGTGGCAATTTCTGTATGAAGCAAAATATTCACTACCAGCTATAATGTTTGCCCAAACTGTTGATTAAATCACTGGATTGGACAGTTTGCATACTTTTAAAATACCAACCTCTAAAATTCCTTTTCACAGCAATGAAGCATAAGCTTTCTAAGTAAGATTAAACAGGTACGTAAGTAAATAAGCAAGAGAAAATAATAGTTGGTGAATGTCTTTAGAACTTGTTCCACATTTCACTTTTAAAAATGTTTAGGGGGAAAAATTTAAAATATTTGCCATTATTCTAGCAAAAACAAACAAACAAAACAAAACAAGCCCAAAATAATTAAACAACCAAGCAACACTAAAACCACATTACACAGATGGATCATCATGCTTTCATCTGATTTAACGATCACATCTAGTTTAATTGGGATGCTTTTCAACTTTAAAAACTGTGGTAAGTGAAGATGTAACTTTAATGGGTAATTTTGAATTTGGATTTAACTTTGTTGAATATTATAACAGAGTATACTTATTACAATACAGTGTAGCACATCTTTCTATTAGAAAAAAATTTAAGATCCTTTACCCGTCTCCTTAAGTTAAAGGTGTGACATCATAAAGGGTGTCAAATGGCTGGATGGTTTTACAGTGCACACTTATATATTATGAAGTATGTCCTTAACAAATCTGATGGTTTCTTTAGACAGTTCCTTTCTTCACCTTTTCTTCGGTGGATTAGCTGTTCGAGGTGGAGTGACCGGACGTCCTGAATTCAGTCCACCATACTGGTACTTAGCTTTCTTTTCAGATGGTTTCAATATCTTAAAGTAAACAATTTATTAACAACGTTATTCTTTCAAGTGCAATAAGCTTAAGAAAATTACTGTTACAACAGTGGGTGTGTTTTTTTTCTTATTCAATAAATGGCAGAAATTATAAAGTGCAATAAAAATGTAGAAAAAACAGCAAATTTCCACAAATATTTCTCACATTTTAAAGTTTTCAAACATCTGAATAGTGCAATTGTATCATTCCATCAATAATTTACTAACAAAAGCATTTGTTAGTATACAAAACCTATCAACTACCATTCCTTAGATTTAAGCAAAAAAATTTTTTCCAATCAGTGTATCTCTGTGGTGAGGAAAACACTCTGGCTTTAAGAGTCAAAAAGACCTGGTTCTCACCATAATTCTGCCACTACTTAGAGGTTAACTAGACACAAACTCTTCACACCTTAATTTTTTTATTGTAAACAGATCTTTTCATTTAAAAAGCAGCTTTGAGGAAGCATTTGAGATCTTGCTCCCGAACATATGCCATCAGTTTGGCTCAAATAAACTCATAAAAATTCAAAAACAAAAAACATCCCAAAACAAACCAGCTTTATTTTTATATATTACATATCATAAAGTTCACCCATTTAAAATGTATAAGTCAATGCTTTTTAGTATATGTATTTACAGAGTTGTAGAGCAACGGCCATAATCTATAATTTTGTCACCCCAAAAGAAACCTTGTTCCCATCCCCTTTCTACTCTCCTACTCACTCTCCCTCCTTTAACTCTGAACAACCACTAATCGACTTTCTTACTCTATTTTTTTTTTTAAACATACTTTTATCGATTTTTCAGAGAGGAAGGGAGGATAGAGAGCTAGAAACATCGATGAGAGAGAAACATCGACCAGCAGCCTCCTGCACACCCCCTACTGGGGATGTGTCCGCAACCAATGTACATGCCCTTGACCAGAATCGAACCTGGGACCTTTCAGTCCGCAGACCTACGCTCTATCCACTGAGCCAAACCGGTTTTGGCAACTTTCTTACTCTACTAATTTGTCTTTTCTGGCTATTTCATATAAATAGGACTTGACAATATGTGGAATTTTGTGACTTGCTTTTTCGTTTTTAAGATTTATATATGTTACAGCATATATCAGTAGTTTGTTACATTTAATTGTCAAACAATATGCCATTTTGTTTATTCATTCTTTAGCTGATTGACATTTGGGTTGTTTTCAACCTTTGGGTACTATAAATAATGTTCCTATGCATATGCATATAATTGAATACCTATTTTTAATTCTTTTGGGTGTATACCTCGGATTAAAATTGCTGGGTCATGCAGAAACTCCATGTTCACTACACCATCTTACATTTTCACTATCAATGTACATTTTTACTATAGATGTGTGAAAGTTCCAATTTCTCTATGTCTTCAGCAATATTTGTTATTGTCTTATTAAAATTGTATTCATTTTTTAAAAACATATTTTATTGATTTTTTACAGAGAGGAAGAGAAAGGGATAGAGAGTTAGAAACATCAATGAGAGAGAATCATCGATCAGCTGCCTCCTGCACACCCCCCACTGGGGATGTGCCTACAACCAAGGTACATGCCCTTGACCGGAATCGAACCTGGGACCCTTCAGTCTGCAGGCCGATGCTCTATCCATTAAGCCAAACTGGTTTTGGCAAAAATTGTATTCATTTTTTAAAATTAAATTATTATCTGTGTACATATTTTACCATTGCCCCCCCATACATGCCCACCCTCTCCAGAGTTTTGTGTCCATTGGTTTGTATTCATTTTTAATAGAACTTTACGCTCATTATAGGTAGAAAATTTCAATATTTATACAAAAAATGCATACAAAAGGCTTAAAACTATTCAAAGCATCACAGTGCCTCACTGAAAAATAATAATATTAATTCAACTCCACTCTGGTGACTGTTGAAGGATATGGCCTGGTTACTATCCTTAAATTATACGTGAGAAGTCAAAAATTTACACTCATTTATACTAGTAGTTACAAACAAACAGTATAATATAAAAAAAAAAAAAAAAAAAAGAGGAATGGTCTACACTTAAAAAAAGAAGGTATGTATGTTCGGGGATATAAAATAACCTTTGCAAAAACAAAGTATCAAAGTTGTTTTGGCCTATCAACAAGAATGATTTTAAGTAGCATGTTAAAGTTCTTCACTTTTAAAATATAAATGTTTCTACATTTATAAATTGGTACTTTAAAATTATCTGGAAAGCTTTTTCTTAGGTAAATATTGTTATTTTCATCTGAGTTTATAAACTCGGTCTTTAAAACCCTCAATACTAAGGACCCTGCACTCTCCTGTGCCTTTCCCTCCCTCTCAGCCTCCCCAGGCATTTTTCCTTTGCCTTTCTTTCTCCTGAGCTCCACTGGCCCTTCTTTGCCTTCTTTTGTTTCCTGAGCTGGCTCACCTCTACTACCTCTGTAACTTTCTAATTAAACCTTCTCTTAAAATTTTTTTGGGAAAAAAATGACTGCTATAACTTAGGTTCCCTAAAAGTCTAATATCTGATATATATCAAAAGGCCGAAACCTTTGTGAATAAAAACAGAAATCTCTACTGAACCTATGCTGAAGTTCACTACTTCTTCTTCTTCTTCTTCTTTTTAAATAAATCTTTATTGTTCATATTACAATGAGGTTCACTTCTTAATAAAACTGATTTTCTACACTGGCTCAAGGAAAGTACACCAGTCTAAAAGAAAATTTTCTTCTGACAATACTTTTATTAATTATATTTCCAGTTGTTATAAATTTATATTATACCTGAAATGAACACATCAAAGTTTCATCCACACTCATCATTCCACCAGCATTATCGAATTCACCACAGTAATTTGGGGCTGAAAATAGGGTCACCAATTGTCGTTTAGCAAAAAATTCATATCCATCTTCCACAACCTGTCAAAAGAAAAAAACATGTAATTCTCAACCATCTAAACTCACTGAGATTAATGTAATAAAAACCTAAAAAAAAAGCAAACCCCGTTTTGAAAACTTGATTTTTATTCTTAAACTGCCTTAGAATATTTAAATTAGTGTGCTTTTTCTATGATGGTCAAGATTTAGTTTACATGATATCATAATAAATTTATGACTATTAAGAAGTTTAGAAGTCATGCCATTTCCAGGGCTCTGCATATGCTAATACCGTGTTTTCCCGAAAATAAGACCTAGCACATGGAAAGATAAGACATCCCCTGAAAATAAGACCTAGCACAACTTTGGGAAAAAAAATTAATATAAGACACTGTCTTATTTTCGGGGAAACAGTGTATGTAGTGTCTACAGGGAGCTGAGACCCTAAGCACTTCTTAGATGATGGCATTATAATCCAACTACAAAATTCTTAGTTCAGTGAACAATAACCAGACAAGGAAAAACAGATTATGGCAGGTTTTTCTTGCTCCACTTTTAAATTTTATATTACACATAATGCTCTACTAAATTGAACTTAATTTACACAGATAATACTCTTAAAAATTAGCTTGTTATAGGTTAAAATTTTAATAATTAAATTTTCTTTAATAATTTAACATAATTTTTAGTATTGTCAATTTCTGAATGAATTAATTTATTATTTCTCAGCTCTACAATTTGAGAGGTAATGATATCTAAACACTTAATATTTATTCATAATGGGCAATAATACTGTTTGTTAGGTACCCTTGATAAGCAACAATTATCCAACAACACTTGCTAAGAAAGCACCTCCAAAACAATTTATGTTTTAAAATAATTTCTTAATATCAGGTACATGCTCATGATGTAATTATCTCATGGTAGAATTTAGATATTAACCTTTTCTGTTAAGACCCTGGCCACCTTATCTACTCCAGGCTCAACATGGTGGTTGGCACTCAGTACATCCTTTTAGTTCTTAGTTTCCTTGTTCATTCAATCACACATTTACTGAAAGAACAGGTTTGTTCCTATAGAAAATATTTGGAATTTGTGTTATTTCTCATCACAAGTCTCTTAATATTAGAGATAATATGTGTTTTGTATTGGTTTGATATGATTTCAAATCCACCTGTTTATGACAAAAAAATGAATTTTGTAAGAGTAAAGTTGTTTGTTTTTTTAATATATCTATTGACTTCAGAGAGGAAGGGAGAGGGAGAGAAAGAAACATCAATGATGAGAATCATTGATCGGCTGCCTGCTACATGCCCCCAACTGGGGATCGAACCCGCAACCCAGGCATGTGTTCTTGGCAGGAACTGAACTTGGGACCCTTCAGTCCACAGGTTGACACTCTATCCACTGAGCCAAACCAGCTAGGGCAGTAAAGTTGTTTTGATATAAGAATGAGGTAAGCTGTCATGATCTCACCTGTTGTCATTGATAAGCACTCAGTAGCTCAGCTACTAGGGGACACTGCTGGGGGCTTAGCAAAAAAAAAAAAAAAATTTGCCCTAAGCCAATTTGGCTCAGTGGCGAGAGCACTGGCCTTCAGATTCAAGAGGTCACAGATTTGATTCCAGTCAAGGGCATGTATCTAAACTGCAGGTTCTAGCCCCAAGCATGCAATCTGTCAGGCACAACCAATTGATGTTCTCTCTCACATCTATGTTTTTCTCTCTCTGACTCTTCCCCTCCCTTCTACTCCCTCTACCCTTCACCACCCCACTCCCCCACCCCCCTCACCCTGCCAAATAAACAACAAACAATGGAAAAACATATCCTCAGGTGAAGATTAACAACAAAAATTAAAAAAACAAAACAAAAAAAACAAAACATGTAAAGAAGCAACTATGGCAAGGGAACATTTAAACTATAAATACCCAGAGTTTGTGAAGACCATGTGAGAGTTCCTGGGGACTCTGCTGACCTAAGTAACTCTCTTAAGGGCATTAGCTCCTCTCCCGGTAGAAGCTTATTAGCAGCGAGAAAGCTGTGCAGCAGCCCCCACAAAGGAGATCATCTTACCAGTCAACACTAGCTCCACCATTGCCTAACAACATGCCCTAGTAACAAGGGACTCTTACTTGTCACTTTTCCTTGGCTAAACCATTTCTCCTAAGCCTGAGTACCAACCAAGTCCTATAAAGGTACACTTCAGTTCAATTAGAACTTTATTACTTTCTTTCCCTTTGCCTGGTACAACAGTGTGTGTAATGTATTTTTTTTTTTTTTTTAGATTTTTTTCAAAACTGATTTTGAGAGAGAGAGAGATCATTGATGTGAAAGCAAAACATCACTGCCTCCTTCCTGTATGTCCTCCTATTGGGGATTAAGGCAGAAAATTGGGCATGTATGTGCCTGATTTGGAAATCAAACTGAACCTTTCAGTGCACAGGAAAACACCCAACCAACTGAGCCACAAAGCAAATGTTATTTCTTTTCTTTAATATATTTTATTGATTTTTTTTTTTTTTTTTTTTACAGAGAGGAAGGGAAAGGGATAGAGAGACAGAAACATCGATGAGAGAGAAACATCAATCAGTTGTGGGGATGTGCCCACAACCAAAGTACATGCTCTTGACTGGAATCAAATTTCCTCAACTTTCTAAAAAATTTCTTTTTACAGTGTGGTTGGTTCTTATCAAAATCCCCACAATTCATTTGGTTATTATCTATTATATGTAAATACCACATTATAATGGGGTCAAATATTTCTAGAAAGCTTCAGACAAACACTGAAAAATTTATTAAATTGCAGTATAACTGCAAAAGTATATTATTTTGAGCTGAAACCGGTTTGGCTCAGTGAATAGAGCATCAGCCTGCAGACTGAAGAGTCCGGGTTCGATTCCGGTCAAGGGCATGTACCTTGGTTGCGGGCACATCCCCAGAAGGGGGTGTGCAAGAGGCAGCTGATCAATGATTCTCATTTATGTTTCTAACTCTCTCTCTCTCTCCCTTCCTCTCTGTAAAAAATCAATAAAATGATTAAAAAAAAAAAGTATATTATTTTGAAACATTTCCTCTTAAAGTGTGAGAAAGGGTTAACAAATCATTAGACTGTTAATTGTGATACAGGCTTCACCTCTCAGTTTCCTCAAAAATAAAAGTAGACTTATGTGAAGTTAATATTAGAATACACACAAAAGTTTTAAATTTCATACCTGATGAGCTCGACAAATCAAGTCTAAATCATGACGATTTAGAAATTTACTGACTACATCAGCTCCAAAAGTGAAGGAAACACCACGATCATTTTCTCCCCAGCCTTGCACATCCTTATCTGGGTCAGACCATAGCAAATCACAGAGCAAACCTTTAAAGAATAAAACCAGCAATGAATAAAGCAAAACAAAGTTTATAAAGTAAAGTATACCTTCATCACATTTTTTCTCCTATCCCCTCACCCTTTAATAAACAGTAACAATTTCTTGCCTCTGGTATCTAAGTTATCAAACTTAGCCATTCTTTATTAAAGCCCCATACAAATATAATCATCCTTGGTTTCTTAAGGTATACTTTCAACCTTTTCCATGGAGGAAATATGTGTATATCTCATTCTAAGAACACACACAATATATGGAAAAGGCTGTTCATCTTTTGTATGTGTTTTCTCCATATTGAAAACCAAGTAACACACAAGCATTTCCTGAATAGTTCATCCTTTCCTTACAGAGTTACCTACACTGTATTTCTGGGTGCTGTAGTCTACTCCACTAATCAATTTTACGTATCTGTGAGCCAACAACACACTAGAGCTTTTAAATAAATCTTTATTTGGTAGAGTACTATTATTTATTTATTATATAAACCAATTCTACTTCCACTAAATATAATTAAATTCAAATTGCCAATCCTATATAATAAAAGCCTAATATGCTAAGGGTCAGTTGTCTGGTTGTCCAACCAATTGAAGTGTAATATGTTAATGATATGCGAAGGCCGCTCAACCTCTCACTATGATATGCACTGACCACTAAGGGGCAGACACCCCAACTGGTAGGTCAGCTTGCTGGTGGGGTCCAGCCAATGGGGACTGTGTGAGATGAGCTGGATCTGGAGCCCTCCTGTGGTCTCTCCCTGACTGGCCAACCTCCTGCATCCCTCCCTGGCCCCAATTGTGCACCAGTGGGGTCCCTCCACCTGGCCTGTGCCCTCTCACAATCCAGGATCCCTCAGAGGATGTTGGAGAGCCGGTTTCAGTCCAAACCCCGAAGGCCAGGCCAAAGGACCCCACTGGTGCATGAATTTGTGCACCAGGCCTCTAGTAATTTTACATAAAACAATTAAGCAAACATCGCTATATACATAACCTGTATCAGGGACATCAGTGGGTCTCATAATTCTCCGAATCTGCTCCATAGATTGCAGGTCTGGTGACAGTCCTATAAATAAAAACATGAGTCAATAGTTATTGACGTCTAAAATAATTTCACCCAAACAAAAAAACATATTTAATTAAGTAGATTCACTATGTGAAATTGAAGACATTTAAAAATTTGCTTTTAATATTTTGTTATTAAATAGAATCCCATTTTGATATAACAGAACATTATAATTAGCTTCTCTACTCTTTCCTACCAGGAAATAAAATTCTCTTTCATTTCAAAACATTTCCCAAGGAAAGAAATCCTATCACTCTCTTTCCAACCATTCCCTGTCCTTCATAGGAACATACTCAATTCTAATCTTTCCAACCATTTTGCCACTTATCACCTATTCTTAAACATACTTCTAAGTTGAAGTGTTCCATTAGACCTTCTTATAATCCATGCCAACATGCTCATTTATCTTCACAAAAGCATAACTGTTGAACAGAATGATAAACATGAAAATACTTTGTAATCTTTCAAGCAGTACACAGTACAGCCAGTATTTCTCTTTGGTAGACAATCTAAGCATTATCACAAAGAATGAACCTAAATATTCGTACTCCTTCCTGCTTGCTACACACAATTCTATTCTTAGCTATGCTAATGTGTAAGAGCTACAATTTCTTAAATGTTTAGTATCTATTCTAAAATGTTTAATAGAGAATTAGGTACTATTAGAGAATAAACTACCTAGAAAAGTGCATCTATCTTTTTAGCATTGTCTTAATTTTTCCCTCATACTGATAATTAATTTTCTTACAGTATTTTCATTAAATTAGTTCCCTATATAAAAACCCAATTTGGCTATCAAACCATTCAATAAACTCATTTGCTCAGTATTCAAATCTCTATTATCTGACCCCATTCATCATTCCCCAACATGTACTTGACATTCTAGACAGGCCAGTCCTCACTCATTTCTTAAACTAACCATATTGTCTTATGTTTCCACCTCTCCAAAACCTGTGTCTCTATAACATTTACCCAACAATTCTCTCCTTTTCCTGACTTCTCATAATTACTGTCTCTATAAGTTCTTTGACATAAATTCCTTTCATTACTCAATATCTGTTTTGAAAGTATATATTTTATCCATAGATTTTTAAATTCCTCAAGATAGCCAACTCATATATTGGCGCCATATCTATATCTATCTATTTTCATGGCGTAGCCAGATGCTAGAAATGTATTAATTTTTCAAATAAACTTTCAAAAATCAAGCTTATTTAACAAGTCATACAGAGTAACATTCTAATAAAAATTATTTTTAGAACTAAAGCAGACATATTACATAAAGCCTAGAACTCTTGGCATGTGGAAATATTAAATTATGTTTGGATTCTGATAAAAGGCATTAAATAAAGGCAGGAAAACAACTATTCTCTTATTTTTACAGATAGTAGGGGCATCTTCCTGTTACAACAGAGGCAAAAGGATGATATTATTAAAAACAAAACTATGGTTATCCTATGTGAAATTCTTTAAAGATAAATACTTAATTTTCATTATATATAAATATCATAAATTTCTAGGTAGGAGAGATTTTAGTCACGTTTACAACAGTTTTAATCACTTGAGTTTTCACAAAAGCACTGTTAAATATTATAGGTCTTGCCAAAACCGGTTTGGCTCAGTGGATAGAGCGTCAGCCTGTGGACTGAAGGGTTCCAGGTTCGATTCCGGTCAAGGGCATGTACCTTGGTTGCAGGCACATCCCCAATAAGGGATGTGCAAGAGGCAGCTGATCGATGTTTCTCTCTCATCGATGTTTCTAACTCTCTATCCCTCTCTGTGAAAAATAAAATATATATTAAAAAAATATATTATAGGTCTTTTCTAAATAATAGAAGAATAAGAAAAACTCATAAGGTAAATTTAGTAGTCTACCTCCATGACAACAAAAGATCTTCTCATCCACAATGGCAGCTATAGGCAGACAGTTGAAACAATCAGTGAAGGTCTTCCACAACTTAATATTAAATCTTCGTTTGCCTACAAAAAGAAAAAGCAAATAGAATAAATACATTTAAACTGTTCTCATTAATTATCTCACAACCACAGGATTATGAATGATTTCAATTTTCTTTGTTTATCTAGCACTGTTTTTTTCTATAATGAACAAGTGCTTCTTGTATATTTTAAAAATGGTAATACATTTAAAAAGCATTTACACCTTCAGTAAAGTTACAAAGACTTCAAAGATTGTGTTAGGTGTTCTATGAAACAAATACATCAAACACTTGTCTTTTAAGATCACTGTGACAGCAACTTTGAAAGAGTCTAATAGACTATTTTTATTTTTTCCATTCAATATATATACTAGTTACATATGTAGCCAAATAAACAAACAAATAGAAGCAAAAGGGGTGACTCTGGACATTGTCCATTTTAATTCTAATGCACTGAGTAATACAGCATAAACTTATTACCAATAAAGGAGAACTTACAAGTGCTTAACTGGTATTCACTTTTGAATGAATTACAACTTGGCACAATAGCAAGTATAAACAGAGACAAAAGCCAAAATTTTCCTTTAGTCTAGCATAAAAAGCCACAACAAAAACAATCTTAAGTTTATGTTCACCTTTTTAGTGTTACTCAATTTCTCTGAATTTGGCAATAAGTTTCAACAACTAATCCAGGGAAGGGATGAAAGACGCAAACACTAATTTCCTATGGTTTTACACCTCTACCTGTCTCTCAATGGTAAGGCTAACTCAAAGCAGTGCTTGTAAGCTGTTCTCACATACATTATTTCATTTTATACAATTTCTATTCTGAGGATATTCAAGCCTGTATTTTATCTTTTAAAAATGAACCTTTATTTCTGATGTAGCTTCAGAAAAGTGGTTATAGTTTGATACACTACAACCAACTTTCTGTCTGCTGGTCTGATTAAACAATCGAAATTACATACTACCTCTCAGAAATAAAAACCTATAATAATCATAGGATGCCTCAATATTTCTTTGACAACGAGCCAGTAAGATTTTCTGTTATATCACAAGAATGCTGAGCACTAAAACCTTAATGGACACTAGAAAACCAGAAGTGAAGCTACTGTCTGTAATAACCTCTATTCTACTTAGATATTTTACTATGTGAGCTAATTACAAAAGGTCCTTTCAGCCGACCAAGCTGCAGTCAACCTGAAAGAGATCCCAAGGAACCAATTTAACTAGTAACATTTCCCAGTTTCAGGTTCCTCTTCCATGAAAGGTTCTCTTCTTGGGCTTATGCTTAATATATCATTTTTTTTTTTTTTTTAAAGAACTCTAAATTGGAAGAACTCTTTTTAAGTAAAAAATTATTAGGGACTTTTTCCATTAATAATAGGTTTTTATTTTTACTTACATTCATCATAGAATCCATAAATACGATTGATGCTAGCACACTCATGGTTTCCTCTCAAGAGAAAGAAGTTCTCTGGATATTTGATTTTATAAGCCAATAGCAAACAAATAGTTTCCAAAGACTGCTTTCCTCTGTCCACATAATCTCCTAAGAAAAGATAGTTGGCTTCTGGTGGAAAGCCTCCATATTCAAATAATCGCAGTAAATCTGTATACTGTCCATGAATATCTCCTAAAAAGAGAAAAAGTCAGCTTTAGAATATTTGGTTACTGTTGTACAATCACATTCTAATGAGATGATTCCTCATGTTTACTCCCTTGTGTAATCCTCTCCCCTTGAGTGACTTGCTTCTAATAAAGAGGATATAGCAAAAGAAAGAGGTGCTGTCACACCTGAGATTGTTACAAAAGACTGTGACTGCCCTGATGGGTCCCAGGTTTGATTATGGTCAAGGGCATGTACCTTGGTTGCAGGCACATCCCCAGTTGGGGAGGGAGGGGGTAAGAGGTGGCTGATCAATGTTTCTAGCTCTCTATCCCTCTCCCTTTCTTTCTCTTAAAAAAAAAAAAAAAATCAATAATATTTTGAAACAAACAAAAGATTGTGACTTCCATCTTGCTTGTACTCTCTTGCTTTCTCTCACTCTTAATGATGAAGCCAGCTGCCTTCTGGAAAACCACACATGGCAAAGAACTGAATGAGGACTTTGGCCACATGCTCAGTAGGAACAGAGGCCCTCATCCATTAGCACATAAGGAACTGAATCCCTTCCCAGTTGAACTTCGAAATAACCACAGCCCCAGATGACACCTTGACTCTAGTCTTGGGCGAGCCCTAGAATCCGAGGGCCCAGGCAGGCTGGGTCCAAAATCCTGACTTACAAAAACTGTGAGGTGATAAATTAATGTTGTTTTAAGCAATAAGGTTTTGGGGTGATTTGTTATATAACAACAGAGAACTAATACAGTTAATCTTATCATCTGGTAGTTAAACTTAGGTCCTATTGTTATACCAAACAGCAAGACAAATAAAATAGCAAGAACTCAAATAGATCACTAAGAAACATGAAAAATAAATTTTTTAAAATCCTCACCCAAGAATACATTTTTCATTCTAGAGAGAGAGAAAGGGAGAGGGAGAAAGAAACATTGATTGGGTTGCCTCCCATATGCAACCCAAATGGCAATAGAACCCCCAATGCTTCAGTGCATGGGACAACACTCCCAATTAACTGAGCCACACTGGCCAGGGCCAGATAAATTTCTGCATATAGCAAATAATCCTTAATTGAGCAAAAACTGATAGTTAAGTCTATAATCACTAATAGCCACTATCAAGAAAAATTGTATTATTAAACCAAAGCCAGCACAATATATTATTTATACCACTTCCAGCTGTTAGATGAACTATGTAAAAATGTGATCACTCTACTTAAGCTCTTAAGTTTTTGCTTTTGGCCAAAAGCCATTATCAGACTTAAAAACAAACAAACTGTAAAGTTACATAATTTTCAAAATAAAATGATCACAACAAAGGTAGGATACCATGGAAGTTGCCATATTGACACTAATTCTGTACCCATTTGACTGGAATTGAATCTGGGGCCCTTCAGTCCATAGGCTGACGCTCAATCCTCTAAGCCAAATCAGTTTTGGCTGTACCTGTTGTTTTTTTTAAACTTGTGTACCAACATGCCTATTTCACTACTTCTTTAACATTAGATAATCAATTTTTTGATATTTTTTCAATTCAGGATTTGATTCTGAATTGCATTTTCCTAGTGAGATTAAAGATCTTACATATATTGGCCATTTGAATTTCTTCTAATATCTGACTATTTTTTTGACTGTATAGCCTTTTCTTATTTATTTATAAGAACTCTTTTATATAGTGTGAATAGCAATCTTTTTATCTGTGGTATATGTAGCTAATACTTTGTAACTTGTCATTTCAAGAAAGTTTCAATTTTTAAAGAAATATATATTTTTTATTGACTTCATAAAGGGAGGGAGAAACATCAGTGATGAGAGAGAATCATGGTTTAGCTACCTCCTGTATTCCCCCCACTGGGAATTGAACCCACAACCCCGGCATGTGCCCCTGACCAATCAAACCTGAAACCCTTTAGTCCACAAGCCAACGCTCTATCGACTGAGCCAAACCAGCCAGGGCAAAAGTTTCAATTTTTATAGAATTTTATAAAAGAAAACTTATTAGTCTCTTTTATACAAAAACTTTAAAACACTTTCCCTAGATCTTCAATGTAAATATGGGAGAAAAACAGATTCAAAAGAGATTGTTTCAAGCTTTACCCACTTACCACAAATTTTCAACGGTGCTTCCAATTCCAAAAGAATAGGCTGACTGAGAAAGATCTCCCGAGACTTGATACATAAGCCCCGAACTTCTGCTTCAGTCATCTGCACAATTTTTCCTGGACGACATCCTCGTACTGATAAACAATGAATAAATGGTCAGTTTTCTAAAACTTATCCATAAGACAATATTTTAACAGGCAGCAAACTATCAGAAAACCTGTTAGGTCCTATAATAATAGTAAGATTATTCTATGATCTTTTGCTTCTATCTCCATTCACGTTAGTTCTTGATCCTCCAGCAAGTTGCTACCATCGAAATGCAGCCCTCTTTGTTCTTCAGTGGCTAAAGTGAGGCCTCACAGTCCTAAAATGATTCAGGGACAGCACCTGTTGAGTGTCTAACCTATTCTCTCAGCAAAGTCTTGCATTTAATAATAAAATGCCAAAATAGCAACAGTAAGAAGCTGTGGCTATGAAAAAAGAAAGATTAGGAAAAGCAGTTGTCAGGTGAATTATAGCTTCACACACTTCTTGGAATATCATCAGCAGTCCCAAGAATTTTATCAACTAATGTCAGACATTGGGCACCATTTAATGCCAGTGGTCTTGAATCAGCATCTAGAAGGGTTCAGGCAATCTGGAGAAGGGGCTATGTGTAAATTAATAGAGTCCAGAGATGAAACATAATTTTGAAAGGCATGTGAGCCGAAACCACTTTGGCTTAGTGGATAGTGTCAGCCTGCAGACTGAAAGGTCCCAGGTTCTATTCCGGTCAAGGGCATGTACCTTGGTTGCAGGCACATCCCCAGTGGGGGGTGTGCAGGAGGCAGCTGATCAATGTTTCTCTGGGGGGCAGCTGATCAATGTGTGGTGGTGGTGAACTCCTTTTAGCTTTCTCTTGTCTGGGAAACTCTATATGTCTTTTGATTCTGAATGATAACTTTGCTGGATAGAGTAACCTTGACTATAGGTTATCTTATATTATTATTTATTAATTATTGTAATAATTAATTACAATTAATTATTTATATAGAATTTTATAGAATTTTATAAAAGAAAACTTATTAGTCTCTTTTATACAAAAACTTTAAAACATTTCCCCTAGATCTTCAATGTAAATATGGGATTTTTATTGAAATTGATGTTTCTAGCTCTCTATCCCTCTCCCTTCCACTCTTTAAATATATAAACACACACACACACACACACACACACACACACACACACACACATATATATATATATATATGAAAGGCATTTGAGGGCCTCTGTTCCTACAGAGCAGAGGGGTGGGAGGGCCTGGCTAAGGAAACCAAGTTCTCTCGTGTCAGGACCCCTTGCTTTTTATTAACATAAATTGTCCTAAGGCAAGGTGGAGATATACACATCAAAGGCCAGGGTTTCTTATACAAATCTATTGTCAGATTAGGGGAGTTACCTCCAACTGGCTGTTCAGGTGTTTGGCCAGGAGGAGGCAATAACATGTAGACTAAGATGCCCTGAGCCGTCTGGCAGTAAACAATCATCCTTTTCAGGTTTGGGGAAATGCCTTTAGCATTCATAGCAGGCATACCATATGTGACTCAGCCCTTGTTGAGTTCCCAAGTTCCATCAACCTTTAGATGAAACTCCTGCAATCATGACATGCTGGAACTGGCTTCCGGAAATCAACTACCACTTCTATTTTCCAATAAAAACAAAACAGATTTTCAAAGGTGCCAGCCAGATATTTAACAAATTTTAATGAATTATTATGTTTATAATAGGACATTACATTAAAAATTCTATAAGCTAGTTAGATGAAGAAAAAACACTTTTCACATGAATGAAAAAATAAAATTCATTAACTAATATGGTTTCCAGTAACTTCTGAGATGGAGTGGGGAGAAATGGTGCATGGGAGTTCCTTATTTGTCCTAATGAATTGAGTTTGTAATAATTTCCTCTCATTACCTTCTCCATTCACTTTCCCTTTGACCTCTAAATATATTGCTAGCTCCCATTCAATCTTAACTGAGAAGACATTTAAAAAAGGAAAACATGGGCTATATCTCTATATACCCCTACTATTCTCCATTTACTATTAAGCCCATACATTTTTAAAAATATTTTATTGATTTCAGAGAGGGAGAGGGAGAAAGAGCTAAAATCATCAACAATGAGAATTATTGATCCTGCACATCCCACACTGAAATTGAGCCCACAACACAGGCATGTGCTCTGATCTGGACTCCAACTATGACCTCCTTGGTTCATAGGTTTACGTTCAACCACTGACCCATGCCAGCCAGGCTAAATAAATTTTATCTTTCAATAACCACTTGTTACTTTCTCCAGCAAGTTCTTATTAATACTTGCCTTCTCTAAAATAGAAAGGATGCCAAGAAAAAAAAGAACTAATTCTACTATCTATCATATCTGCCCCATCTTAAACATTTTAATTTTAATTGGTTCTACCCTACTTCCACACCTAATAAAGATTTACTCAAGGATACATATGACTCAATAGCAAAGTGCATTTAAATCCAGGTTTCCTATATTGCCTAAACTTTTCTGTATGATAAATGTCAATTAATTTCAATATACATGGTGTAGCAAAAGTAGTTTACAGTTACTTGTATGGAAAATAATACAATAATTAATAAGTAATAATATAAGATAACCTATAGTCAAGGTTACTCTATCCAGCAAAGTTATCATTCAGAATCAAAAGACATATAGAGTTTCCCAGACAAGAGAAAGCTAAAAGGAATTCACCACCACCACACCAATACTATATGAAATGTTACAGGGCCTTTTTTTTTGGGGGGGGGGAGGGGAGAAAGTGGGAAGGGAGGCTAGATAAAGTATGAACAATAAAATGGCAATAAATACATATCTAAAAAACAAAATAAGCAGAATAAAAAAATAGAAGAATAAACTCTATTTTGTGTACCCACAACTATAAACCTACTTTTGCCCCAGCCTGTATTTTGCACATTAAATCTACCTTTAGCCAAAAAAGAAAAAATATATAATTTTTACAATTGGCTAAAATATATAATTTTAGTTTTAAGTGAAAGAATTAAGCAGTCACCATTGATTTCAATGTACCTGAAGTCTGTCTGATAGGAAAATTAATGTGGTTTCAGAGTCTACAGGTGGCCTTCAGAGCCGTGCATAATAAACCCAAATGTCTATAATATTGTGTATGCACATGAACATACATATTTTTCTGAGAAGACCCCTGGCTTTCATAAATTCTCAAAGGGGCCCGTTTATCATCCTAAGAAATCATTTCAAGTACACTGATAAGCAGATAATGATAAAAGGGAAAAGAAGGAAAGTAACTGCCCTAGCCAGTGTGACTCAGTTGGTTGAGCATTGGCACATGTGCAGAAAGGTTGCCCGTTTGATTCCCAGTCACAGCACATACCCAGGTTTCAGGTTCAATCCCTGGTGGGGCTGTGTACAGGAAGCAATCAATTGGTTTCTCTTTCTCTTACATCGATATAACACACATAGATGAGGGCTAGACAATCTAGGAATAGAGGAAGGAATGCCCTAGCCCTAAGGTTCTCAAAGTGTGACTCCTTTTTAATTGTGCTGACATCTGTACCATGTAAAAGCAATGGCTGGTAAAACTGCTGGTACCCAGCACAAACCAAATCAGTGCTGTCTAACTGTACTACTGTAGTCACTAATGTATTTATTGCCATCCACTTTTAGCAAACATAAAAAAGCCCAGCTTCACTTAAGAATGCCCTTAATGAAGCAGTAAAAACAATTTTATTACATCTCTACCACTGAGTATACATCTTTTTCATATTCAGTATGACAAAATAGGAAGTACCCATAAAACATTTCTGCTGCATACCAAAGTACAAGAGCTGTCTCCAAGAAAAGCACTCATGTGACTGTCTTAGTTTGAAGCTGATCTGGCCACTCCCTTACATCCCCAAACAGAACATCTTTTTTACTAGAAAGCACAACTAACACACTATGGTTATTCACACTTAGATATTTGACAGATACTCTTGAAAATGAATAAAGTGTGCTTGTCATTTCAAGGAAAACAACTGATAGCATTTGTTGCTAATGTTACATTTCAAGCTTTCAAGTGAAAATTAAAATTTGGGAAACCTTATATCCAGCATCATGAACCTGACAGCTTTTCCATACTTAAGGACTCTTCTAATATCTTGTTATAATATTATCAAATGTGATATTTTTGGTATCACAGAAGTGTGAGTACATTTGAAATCTACATAATTCAGTTTAACCAGTGTTCGCCAAATGACCAATGCATATTATTATACAAAGTCATGTGTAAGACCCATTTAAAGTACAAGATAGATCAATGAATAAACTGTTAATAAATTACCACTTGAACATTTTTGGTATATGTTAAAGAATGCCCACAATATATAACAGATGTCCTTAAACTTATGAAAAGTAACTTTGATTTCTCTAAATCTTGAACAGAGGGGGTAGGATTAGGGGAAAAGTAAAAATAGTATTAGACAAGCCAAGAAAATGTCTTGGTCAACCTGTAATTGACAGGCTGGGAACTCGGGGATATTCTGATGAATTCTAGGTATAGAATTCCTTTTAAGTGAAAAACAAAACAAAACAAAACAACTGTGCCCAAACCTCCAAATTATATAGTGTCAGCACAAATGAAGAGCCAAAGACAATGTTCCCACTAGATATGCACATAGTATAAATACCTCTCCTCGTCCTTGCACAGATGTGGGTAAATTTGGGAAGGGAGAGCCCTGAGGCCAGTGATTTTCAGGAAGATTATGTATACCTTCAGAAATCACTGTTACACATGTGAATAGTGCAGAGACAGGATAAGGACAACTGTCACTGCCCTTTAACTACTTTTTCTACTATATAACAAGTACCCACTGATATCAGAAACTGAACTCATCCATCAAACTAGGAAAGGACTAGCTACTAATTATTTATACTTCTTTATCTTCAGAATTAGTGTGTGCACTCCCCTTAATTGTGGAATAAAGACTTTATTTCCGTTAAGCATTTTCATTTTATCCAATACAAAGTTTCTGTTTGATGGCATATTTCAGAGACTGAAGTATATATAAAAATACTTTCACCTACTAATAACCAAGATTTCAAAGATAATCAATTCAGTCTGGAGGAATATGGAGGGTGTACCAGAAGGAAGAATTATGACATTTATCTCTTTCCCCTATCTTCTCTGATCCTCCATTTTTCCAGAAAGAATAAGCGGTGAAATAGCTATTTATAGCAGGTAGAGGAGCAATGATTGCTGCCTGAGATTACAAAAATATGTATCCATGCAAAAACAGAAGATTCCACCACATCACTGCTAAACTTCCTGACATTTACAAACCATTTCTCTTAGCATCCCTATACCCCAATCCCAAGACTTCCAGGATAACCTTTGTTTCAGAAACACTGTGACATTTTATTATTTCTAAATACCCTGACATTCTTTTTGCACCTACATTATTTTACTTCTGTTAAAAGTTGTTTAAGAATGCCTGTCATTGGGATGGATACCCTCTTAATAAATGAGAATAAAAGTCTATCAGATACAATTTACTAATTCTGAATCTTACTATAACCTGGATTTAGACTCAAATGTAAATAGATGTATAAATCCCAATAAATCCTGATCTTGGATTTAGAAATTTACCAGAAAAGCTCCAGCTCTCCTTAAATAACAAAACAGAAACACTTCTGGGCTATTCGAACTGTCAAGCTTTCCCTCTCCTGCTGGAAATAACTATTGGAAAAACAAACACTCCAAATTTCTGAATCAGTTAAAACCTGTAACACTTTATGCCTCCTCTAGCTTCTCATCCAAGAAGCAAGAGAAGAAAGTATTCCTCAGATGATCTCCCCTGCTTCCCAACCTGCTCTTTTATAACAGACTTGGCTTTGGATCTATACACACTTTCCCTGCAGAAGCTGAGACTGCCACAAGCAACTCAACACTTCCTTCAAACTGCCTAACCTTTAGACTACTGGGTCAAAATTAAACAATTTACTCAGAAAAAAAGGCTTTAAACAGTCTGGCAGTTCTGAAAAAGGTTAAATATGGAGTTACCATGTGATCCAGCAATTCCACTCCTAGTTACATATTCAAGGGAACTGAAAACATGCCCCCACAAAAACCTGCACACTAATATTCACAGCAGTATTATTCACAATAGCCAAAAAGGGAAAACAACTCAAGTGATGAATAAATACAATTAGTTATTTTATACAATGAAATATTTATCCATAAAAGGAGTGAAATACTGACATGTGCTACAACATAGGCAAACTTTTAAAACATTAAAATAAGTCAATCACAAAAGACCATATATTATATACTTTCATTTATATCAAACATCCAGAATAGGCACAATCCCGGCAGAAAATAGATTTAGTGGCTCCCTAGTGTGGGGAGAAGGGAAAGTGAGGTGAAGAAATAAAGAAAGTGTTGGCTAATGGAAACAGGGTTGTGCCTGAGGGTGGAAACATTCTAAAGTTGGCTGTGCTGCCCTGCTGGCGATGCTCAGTGGTTGAGCAGACTTATGAACCAGATTCCTGGTCAGGGCACATGCCTGGATTGCAGGCTCCATCCCCAGTGTGGGACCTGTAGGAGGTGGCCAATCAATGATTCTCCCTCACCATCAATGTTTCTCTCTCTCCCTTCTCCCTTCCTCTCTGAAATCACTTAAAAATTTGAATTAAATTCAACTATCATGTGACATCACTGAAAAACAAGGCAAACACAAAAATTTTTATTTGAAGATAAAATTACTTATAAGAAAATCCAAGTCTGTTTTGGATGTTTTTTAATGGGTCTAGATTTTGGTAGGGAAAGGAGAGAAGGAACCTGGAAAATTTAAGAATCTCAGGGAGGCACTGTCAAACAAACTAAATATACTTTCCTGGCTTAAGAAGCAAGTAATGGAATTCTTTACTGATGGGTGTGATGAACATGAACAGAGAGAAGGCTAAAAAAATTCCCAAATCACTTGCTTATATTAAGAGTTTCCTGAGTTAAAAACTGTGTTTTCTTTGGATTCCTGGTGACTGGCACAAAGCAGGTCAACGTTTGGTAATTTAAAAAGGGAAAAATGTTTTGGACTAGAACTCTCAACAATTAAAGAAAAATGATCACCTAAAACCAAAACCAATCATTTATGTAATTTGAATTCACAAAAATAAATGGAATCATTCACTCATTCTATTTTTCACACCATATATTTTTTTTACCAATAACCTTGAATAATCCACTAGTAAAGATTCTTAACTATCTATAATCATAAAAAATTGCATTTGCCTTAAAAAGTTCCAGATCAAATATTGAAAAACATGTAAGTCTATTTTGTTTTATGCCTATAAAATATAAATGTTAAGCATATGAAAAATAAAAGTGAAGACGTTGAGATACAAACATCAGATTTTAAAATTATTTAAATTTACAAGCTGAATTTAAAATGCATAAAAATAGATGTGGGCCTAAACGAAACTTCCCCCCAAATTAACATATTAAATATTTTAAAATGCTATTATTACTCTCTTAGAACAACACACAACAACAATATACAATTTCTTTCAAAGCAAATGTCTCACTCGGCAAGATGTTCACGTCTGTTCAAGTCCACTAAGTCTTAGATAGTGAACACTAACTGCAGGAACCGGGGGCCTCCCAGGAATAGCTTGGCAGGAAAGGTAAATGCTTCCTGGGAAAACTTTGCTTCTTACTCAGTCTTAAATGGCTGGAAGGCTTTCACATCTGGAGCAAATATACTGTAGTTTGTTACACAACCAGTATGAGGTACCCACAATGGTTTAAACCAGTGGTCGGCAAACTCATTAGTCAACAGAGCCAAATGTCAATAGTACAACGATTGAAATTTCTTTGGAGAGCCACATTTTTTAAACTTAAAATTTCTTCTAACGCCACTTCTTCAAAATAGACTCGCCCAGGCCGTGGTATTTTGTGGAAGAGCCACACTCAAGGGGCCAAAGAGCCGCATATGGCTCGCGAGCCGCGGTTTGCCGATCACTGGTTTAAATGAAAAGGAACTAGCGGCTCTCCTCTTCCCCCAAAATCATCGTACAATCTCTGATGATTTTCCAAATATAAGTATATTGCTACACTGTATCAAACAATTACCTTCACTGTATCAAACAATTACCTTCAGTAATCTGAAAGCAAATAATAATCCTTTGACGGTTTCTGGCAGAAAGAACTCATTTTTAAAGGCTTATTTTCTCTCTCTATATATATATATATATTCATAAAGCAATTAGTGATGACGCAAATTTTAGGGTGAAGGGATTCACCGGGAGGAGAGCGCGAATAGCTGTGAATATCCCGGCCTCTCCATCTCTTCAACTTTCCTTCGATCCCCACCCCAACATGAAACTATTCAATAAAAACTGAATGGTCCAGAAACTTCAAAATCTGCGAAGGAAGACTAGTAAATACCTGGTAACACAGGAGAGGCCGTACAATAGACCCTTTCCGAGTTTGTGCAGAAATCAAATCCTCAAACCCGAAAGCTAGTACCTTCAGCAAACGTGCCCACACATTCCCTTTTCCTTGCGAGCATCTTTAACTCGCTCAGACACCTTTTTACTATATGTTTTTTTTTTAAAAAAAGCAAAATAATACATGGGAGGTATTTAACTTCCGTTGTAATCCTCTCCTTAAAAACAGAGCTCTTCCTAGAGCATCATATGAACAAATGCAAAACAGGTCACACAATCGTCTCCAGAAGGTTTTTGTATAAAATTTACTCGGGAACTAGGATCCGAGGCAGCCAAGGGCAAAGCACAAAAAGAGCACAGAAACCCACGTTCCACGGACCTACCACACGGGCGCCCGCCTCCCGGCACCCTCCTCGGGGAAGGGTCACCCAGCACCCTGGGCTCCCCGCACCCCAGGCTGGCGCGCCGCCGCGCGGGCCCCCAACCCCCTCCGCGGGGACACTGCCCGCCGGCCCGGCCCGGCCCCCCGCGGCGACAGAGCCTCCCGCCCAGCCTCCCGAGGCCGCGGCCCCCCCGGCCCGCCAGCCTCTTCTCCCCTCCACGGCCGGCCGCCTCGGGGCGGGGAGAGCCCGGGGGTCCCCTGGGTTCCCGCAGCGGAGGGGCGTGAGACCTCAAGCGAGGCGCCCCCTCCCCTCCCCGCGGCCCCGCACTCACCCTCCAGCAGCCGGGTGATGAGACTGTCCACGTTCAGCTCCCCGTCCGCCATCTTGTCGGCACCAGACGCTGCTTCCCGGCGGCCGGAACCTGGGCTTCTCGGCGGCGGCGGCGGCGGCGACCGCTCGGCGTTCCCGCACCTACGAGTCACGCGGCGTTTCCACCCGGTTCCAGCTCCCGCTTTGCCCCCGGCCCTCCCCCCACCCCCTCCCCGCCAAGCAGCGGAGCGCGCGCACTCGGAGGCACACACACACGGTAAATAAATAAATAAACCAGCGGGGCCCCCCACCAGCCGGGCCGCGTCAGACCCAGCGCCGCCTCGTCCTCCTCGGCACCGCCCAGATCCGCAAAGCTCACCAGCGCCTCCGACGGCCCCGACTGCGCACGGCCCGGCCCCGCGCCGCGCCACGCAGCCCGGCGCAGGCGCACGGCGCTCTGTCCGCGGCCCTCCCGCGCCGCCGGCCTTTGCGCAGTCGCACTGGGCTCGGCTCGCCTCTGTTGCCGCCGCCGCCGCCGCAGCCGCGTTCACTGCGCGGAGTCGCCGCAGCGGCGCAGGCGCCCCGGGGGCTCCTGGGGTTGGCGGCGCGGAGGCGGCCCTGACCTTCCCGCTTCCCAGCCGCCCGGGCCCGGGCGCTGCGCGGACGATGTTATTGTGCCCTTCCCGCCTCGCGTTCCTTTCCTTGGCTTCATTCCCTGCTTTTGCAAACAAGTCTTTATGTTTCCGTTAACGGGGAAACGCGGAATGCATTACCCATGTTTGAAGCAGCAGCAAATAGAGGCAGTTGGAGCCGCCATAAGGTTCAAGCGTAGGTGGGTACCAAAAAAGGAGAAGCCTGGTGTGGCAGATACTGCCCTGAGGAGGCCTTAGTGTGCAGAGGGGCCTGTGGGCAGAGGGGAGGTCATCAGTAGTTCACTAACCGCAGAGACAGGAGAAGGCTGCCAGTGGCGGAGGAGACATTGATGCGGCCAGACCAAGCCCTATAGAGTGCCCATACCTGAAGACTAGCAGGCTCCGGAGGAGGGGACCAGGTGGTGCTGCTGATTGCATGTAGGAAACTGGCCCCCACTCTTTTCGGACATGTGGCAAGACTTAGAAAGGGGATCCTGCTCCTTGTTTCCTAGGAGCCCCTTCTAACAAACCGAAGGGCAAATATTAGCTAGGACTCCCAAACCAGTGGGGCTTTCTGTAGCCAGCTTACACTCTCATGAGAGCCAATGGTTGAACTTTCAGGAATTTTGCAAGCCAGTTGTTAAACAAAGCTATTAATTAAAAATCAAATTATATAGACTTACAAATAAATTATACAGTACTGAAAACAAAGGTAATGATTACTCAAAACTCATCCTATTTTCTACTATGTTGCTACATTTAACTATTATGTATAGTTTAGAGGTTATTTACTAGTACATCTGTCGTATATGTATGATGAAAATACTATCCTAGCTAATAAAAGAGTAATATGCAAATTAACCATCACTGCTACGCCCCCCACAGCCACACCCACCAGCGAATCAGGAGCATATATGCGAATAAACCCAACCAAGATGGCTACCACCACAGAGAGCAGGAGGGAGGCTTGGGTTTCCCCAGCAATGGAGGAAGCCAAGCTTTTTGCACATCCTGGCTGGCCCAGCCCTCCGCTTAAGGCTACAAAGTTTCAATTATAGAAGATACATAAATCCAAACAGAAATGGCTGCCGCCAAGGAACAAGCAGAAGGCTTGGCTCTGCTCCAGGCTACAAAGTTTCAATTGTAGAAGATAAATAAACCCCAGATACTAGGGCCTCTGCTTGGGTCGCCAGGGGGCATGGCCAGTCTGCAAACCACCTCAGGCCTGTCGCCCAGGCCACCCCACATCCCAAGGGAACCCCCACCCTGATTGGAGAGGGTGCAGGCTGGGCTAAGGGACACCTCCCCCCATGCACAAATTTCATGCACCTGGCCTCCAGTTCTATCTAATAAGGGAATAAGCTAATTGATTTCCCCGCCTTCAAAGATGGCAGCACCTAATCCCCTCAGCCTTCCAGCTTCCCAGGGCCAGCCCCAGGCATAGGCAAGCCTCGGATGGCAGCTGTCCAGCTGCCCAGGGCTGGCCCGAGGCTCAGGTAACCAGGGCCAGCCGAGGCTTGCACTGCTGGCAGTGGCAGCAGCAGAGGTGTCATGTGGTGTTGCCTTCCCCTGATTGCCCAGTCACCTCCTGCCCCTGAGGACTCTTGGACTGTGAGAGGGGGCAGGATGGGCTGAGAGACCCCCCACCTCTCCAGTGCCTGAATTTTCATGCACCGGACCCCTAGTAGAATGATATGCTGCAGTGCATCTCCTTTCAACTCCCTGTTCATTGACATCATATTGACAGGGAGTTTTTACAATAAGTTCTGCTAATTTCCTTATTGTAAAATTAATGCTATAAATTTGTAGGTTTTTTTTTTTCCTTTCTATCAGAGAGCTGGTTATTAAACATTTACTAGCACACCACTAGGCTTAGGGAGACTTGGGTCATGCGTGTCCATATTCTTGGGTAACTCCAGAAATGTCTGTGGAGGAAAATTGGACTTCCTAAGTGCAAGGGGTTTGGGGAATCAAAAATTGAGGTCTTAATACAATCATGATCTCATTTGTACTGACTAATAGGAAATACCTGGGACAGGTCAGTGCCCTTTAGACCAGTACTCAGAGGAATCCAACCACCACTGTACTGAATTTCAACATAGATATTCATTATGTTCCAAAGAAGGCACTTTGGAACATAGTGAATAACAGCCTCATTTGTTGTAGTAAACATAGCATGGACTTTCAAGGGATATTTTTTATATACCTTTCAGTACAGGCCAATATAGTGTGAAAGTGAATAGGTTTAGATATCAAAATGAGGAGGTTGTGATGGTGATATACAGCTCTTTGCAGCCCTGACTGATCCCCGACAGTTTATAAATTTTGAATGGCTATTTAGTGGGCTGCCCTTCCAAAAATATGATTCCTCTTAATCAAGTCTTCAATAAGTCTTAGGTGGCAACAAGTTCTAAATTTTACCAAATATACTTCAAGGGCAGTATATCTTTTGTGGTTAGCTCAATTCAAAGATATTGAGACACCATACAATAACATATGCATCAGTAGGAGGCCACCCCTCAATCCAGAGCCAGGCTACATGGTACACTTGGACAGGGCCAAGATATTTCCTTAGGATTTAGTTTTGGTTTCATTTCAGTACACAGATGAGAGAAGAATCAAGCACCAAAGTTATCAACTAAGTTATGTTCTCAGTCATTTTAGTCCAAAAATTATAAATCCAGGTATTACCAAAAGCCTCTTCCCCTGCTCTTGGCCAATAACAGTCCCCCACTGCCTCCCCACCTACACACATACACACACACACCTCCGACCTCCCAACACACACACACAACCTCTCAGCGGAGCATTGTCTCTTAAGCTAACTCTATTCTTCAAGATAAAACGATGGCAAAATAAATGCCTAGTAACTAAAAGAGCTAGTTGGTTATATAGAACTGTTAACTCCAAGGCAATTAACATCGGGTGGGCAGCCACCACAAAGGACGACTATTGAATTTTTGAAGAGTTGATTGGTGGCCCTTCTTTTTCTTGTAATTAGATTACAGGGTCAGCTATCTATTTAGGTCATTCCAAGTTTGTTACGGTAAAACCATGTCATCAACATATATGAGATTGTTTCTCTGTCAGTGTTCTCTGATCCTGCTCATTTCAAGCAGGATACCAGGAAATAACTAAACGTGCTTGCCGATGAAGGAAGGTATACAAAACATGAAAAATTTGTTTCAAATACAGTAATTTAAATATTTTATTTCTAATGATATTTTCTCTCCTCATGCCGTATGTTTAAATTATGTGAGGCATCTTTGCAGTTGGAGAAGTTTTACTTCTGAATAGTTTTGTAAGCCTGTTTTAATTAGTTTTGGCAAACAAAACAAACAAGGCATTAAGCTTTCTAATGTAGTTATAAAATGAGTAACTCTCCCCTAAGAACACATTAAAATTAATGGCATGTATCTTCTGAAACTAAAACCACATATGTCTGTGAGCTGTGAAAAATATTTATTGGAATGACATCCAACACTGATAGGTTCTTTAATGTGGGACACACTGGTTAACTAGAATATTTATGACTTATTACTCAAGCCCATTATAAATAAGTCATTAATTGAAGTGACCCAATGATACTTGCTATTTAAAGAAATCATACAGTGAATGGACCTCGAAAGGAAAGTGAATAATGGACCAATTAAGTATTTATGAAACATTTAGTATTTTTGATCCTGTGCTGAGGAAGTCATGCTCTTCCCAACTTCTCAGTGGTTTCATGACCACGTGGGGAAATGAGCACACAGTGATTTGCTTAGTGGGGAAAACGTTGGCTTGGAGGTAGGAGACCAAAGTAGCTGAATAACTGTAGACAAATCCCTCTGCTTTCTGAACCTCTTCTTCATTCACTACAAAACCAGTCCATTAATAAATGATCTCCAAAGTTCCTTCCAGCTATAAAAAGTCTTTGGTTCCGAACTACACAAATGAAACCCAAAATGTAACACAATATTGTACAGGCCGTCCCCAACTTAGGAACTGGATCAACTCCAAAAGGTCAATTGTTTGGAACACAGACTATATTTTCCCACAGAGACTGTGGTACAAATAGTGGTTAAATTCCCAGATCTGCCTGCAAAATCAATTTACTTCTTAATGTAACTGTAGAAGAGTATCCATGGTAATAGGGACTCTAACCACCAATTATAGCAGAGTTTTATGGGAAAAAGCCAGTGAGGATTCTAATTTGGCATGGCAGAAAACATCTATCAGTGTTTTCCACCACTCTGAGCAATAGGCATGAACACAATTCTAATTCACAGCAGACCTGGGCCATAAATTTCAACCAAGGCTGGGCTGGCAGCTGGGAGAATGAGAGAAGCTCTGATACTTCTGATCTAATAGTGAGAGAGGGGGTGGGCTGAGGACAGTTCATGATGTCTGGTGTTTGGTTGCCAGTAAGGAGGATTTGGTTCCAGCCCAAAAGATAAGGA